AAGAGTAATTCCTGCAGTCACGAAAGCTTCAAATAATCTATGGGAAATATGTATGTTGAACTTTTTTCGCACCGTACGTAGCCAACCGTGTTCATCGGAGATGCGGCGGGGGAAGAACAACAACCCGAACACAACGCCGACGCCGACGGGGGCCTCTGAAGAGTCGTGGCTCCGTGATGTTGGCCTCGTTGTTCGGAGCGAGGATTTTACTGGCGTGGATTTAAAAAAAAAATTCGCCGATTTTTTTTCTCGGATGAAATCTAAAATCCAAGCGAACGTTTCTTTTCGACGCTAGTCAGCAAACTTCTTCATCATTATCATCATCCGGCGGCTGTTGCTGTAGAACGGCAGCAGCTCTGATGCTACATTGGGGTGGTTGGCGAGCCAGACGATTGTGTCAGGAGGAGTAGCGGAGTGGTGATGACGACGCATGTGCGAGTCCGTGAGTCTCTGTGTGAGTCTATGGGTCTCTGTGTGAGTCTGTGGTTTGTGTGTGAGTCTGTGGGTCTTTGTGTGAGTCTATGGGTCTCTGTGTAAGTCTGGTTCTCTGTGTGAGTCTGTGGGTCTCTGTGTGAGTCTTTGGGTCTCTGTGTGAGTGCGTGGGTCTCTGTATGAGTCTGTGGTTCTCTGTGTGAGTCTGTGGGTCTCTGTATGAGTCTGTGGTTTGTGTGTGAGTCTGTGGGTCTTTGTGTGAGTCTATGGGTCTCTGTGTAAGTCTGGTTCTCTGTGTGAGTCTGTGGGTCTCTGTGTGAGTCTTTGGGTCTCTGTGTGAGTGCGTGGGTCTCTGTATGAGTCTGTGGTTCTCTGTGTGAGTCTGTGGGTCTCTGTATGAGTCTGTGGTTTGTGTGTGAGTCTGTGGGTCTCTGTGTGAGTCTATGGGTCTCTGTGTGAGTCTGGTTCTCTGTGTGAGTCTGTGGGTCTCTGTGTGAGTCTGTGGGTCTCTGTGTGAGTGCGTGGGTCTCTGTGTGAGTCTGTGGTTCTCTGTGTGAGTCTGTGGGTCTCTGTATGAGTCTGTGGTTTGTGTGTGAGTCTGTGGGTCTTTGTGTGAGTCTATGGGTCTCTGTGTAAGTCTGGTTCTCTGTGTGAGTCTGTGGGTCTCTGTGTGAGTCTTTGGGTCTCTGTGTGAGTGCGTGGGTCTCTGTATGAGTCTGTGGTTCTCTGTGTGAGTCTGTGGGTCTCTGTATGAGTCTGTGGTTTGTGTGTGAGTCTGTGGGTCTCTGTGTGAGTCTATGGGTCTCTGTGTGAGTCTGGTTCTCTGTGTGAGTCTGTGGGTCTCTGTGTGAGTCTGTGGGTCTCTGTGTGAGTGCGTGGGTCTCTGTGTAAGTCTATGGGTCTCTGTATGAGTCTGTGGGTCTCTGTGTGAGTCCGTGGGTCTCTGTGTGAGTCCTTGGGTCTGCGTGAGTCTGTGTGTCTCTACGTGAGTCTATGTGTATCTGTGTGAGTCTATGGGTCTCTGCGTGAGTCTACGGGACTCAATGCGAGTCTATGGGTTTCAGTGTGAGTCTACGGGTCTCAGTGTTGTTGCTGCTGTTAGCACGGATGAAATAAGCGGCACTTTACTGTAACGCCTCAGTTTGCGTCGGGGATGCGTTCCTGAGAAGCGACGGATAACGAGAAAGGGCGGAGGACGAGGCTTGTCAGCGATGCAAGTGTGAGATTTTAGCCGACGCAAATCTGGTGGCGGTGTTAACAAAGTGGCGACGCGTATTTGAATCGGGCCTTGACTGCGTTATCGTCATGACACTATTTAACCAGGCAAGGCGCACTGAGATGTGCAGTCACATTTCCGGCCTTCGTGGGTGTTGCTGCTCGCTGACAGCACTTGCCCCAACAGTCTGTTGAGACTATACGGGGAGGGAATTTGTCTTTGTGATGACTTCCGCTGGCAAGGCAGCCTCTCAATCTTTAATGGGATTCACAAGCAGCTGCCCCAAACATGTCTATAACGCACTCCAATTAAATGTAATTTAATATAAATATTTAAAAAAGAAATGTAGAAAACATGACTTTATAACCCTTTGCCAATCCACCGCTACAAAGTCATGCTGTCAACACCGAGGCAGTCATGGATGGGGGGGGGGGGGGGGGGGGGTGACCATACTTCACCACGCTGATCGGTGCGCGAGTTGGTGCAGGGAGGAGAAGGTAGAGACAGCTGGTGGTGGCCGTGGCCCGGAATCGAATTCGGGTGGCCGGGGGTTTGTTAGCGGAGTGCGGTAACCGTTTCACCACCGCTCCACCCCACCACCCCCACACATAAAAAAGCGAAATGTGCGATTAACTTTTTTTAAATTGTAATTAAATTAAATTTAAGGCGTAACCAATGGGGCGATTTTTTCTTAAATCCCCCACCCACAACCTCCACAATCAGCTCACGCACCCCAGGTCGAGTGCAGTGGGGTAAAGTGTGTGTAATCCGACGCTGCATTGCCCTGGCTGCTACGAGGACGTCTGGCAAGGGTGGAAGAGGATGCCAAGGTTCCATCCGGAGGGACTCTTCCTAATCTAAACTAAAACGGCAAACTGTTTTATTTTACCAGGTAAGGCCCCACTGAGCTGTGTAACTCTTTTTCAGAAGCGACCTAGACATCACATATGACAGGTCAACGAGTAGCCAAATACTCTAAACGCGTGATGTTGATTCTAAATGTGGAGGGAAAACCCAGGAGAAAAATCCACGCGGCCACAGGGAGAGAGAGAGACACCGCAAACTCCAAATTTACAGCAGGTGTCAGGGTCTGGATCGAACCCACGACCTCCTGTATACCAGGCGAAGTAGTTAACATCTCACCACCGTGATGATTATAAGAGACGCAAGCTCCAAATATATAGCAGGGGCCAGGGTTGGGATCGGACCCACGGCCTCATGCATACCAAGCGAGGGTGATAACATCTCGCCACCGCAGTAGTGGTGTTAAAGCGTGCACTTGCAGCGCTGCGCCTTTACCTTCGTGATGAAGCGCAGGGTGCTTCGTGTACAGAGAGACGGTGGCTCGTCTATCAGCATCCTGGGCAAGTGCAGTGGTGCTCAGTGGCGATCGAGCGAAGATGGAGCATGGCGGTCACGCAGCCCGGCCGTATGTCATGCGCTCCGACCGCCTTGTTCCAGAAGTCCGCGGCTCGAATCCGGCAGGCCGCCCTCATTAATACGGCGGTGTGTGGCTAGGAGATGTTACCGACCTCGCCTGATATGAAGGAGGTTGTGGGTTCGATCCCGACCCTGCCACCTGTATATTTGGAGTCTGCGTGTCTCTCTCTCTCCCCGTGGTCACGTGACATTTTCTCCGGGTCCTCCAGGTTTTTCCTTGCACATTTAGAATCAACATCACGCGTTCCGAGTCTTTGGCTGATATAACTCACCACGTGATGATGATAAGCCACTTCGTTGAGCTATCATTTGTGATAGCCAGGTCGCTTCTGAAAAAAAGAGTAATATAGCTCGGTGGGCCTTACCTGGCAAATAACAAAAACAATCGATGGTTGACATAGATGAGGCTTCTTCCGAGACATCTGGGCAGCGTGGAAAAGTAGACCAAACACCCTCTAGATCAGCGGTCCCCAACTTTTTTGGCACCAGGGACCAGTTTCGTGGAAGACAATTTTTTCACGGACTGGGGGGGTTCATCATTGGGTCTTTCCCCCTTTTCAAAGAAGCTCTCCAGCGGCGTTTGTTTTTTACTAATTTTGGCCAGGGGTTAGAGCGTGTGGGCTTACCAACACTGTGACTGTGACAAGTGCGCAGTGCGGGAAAGAGGCGCAGACAGAAGTGGTCAATAATAAAAAAAAAATGGGGGCGGGCCACACGCGGACTCACCACTCTCATCTCCTGCTGCGGTACCGGTCCGTGGCCTGGGGGTTGGGGACCTCTGCTCTAGAGTCCAGAGAGGGGCTACTCGAGCGCTCCCTCTCAGAGTGTTGGAGGCACCTTCTGCCAGCAGTGGCCAGAGCGAGCAATTGCAAACGTCTGGTCCAATCACAGTGGCTGTTGTTGGCCAGCCTATGACCAATGAGAGACGCGCTTTTGTCGCCGCTCGTCATGGCGCTGGAGCGGCCACTGTGGCTGCCGGCTCCCTGAGTGTGAGACCAACAATTACAACACAAACGATTATTAGGCAATAAAAAGCAAGATTTTCAATGCATGCACACTTTGATTTTCAGTCAAAAGCAGCAGATACATGATTTTGACCCCGGAATAAATCAAAATTGATGTGCTCAATGAAAGTGTGATGGCCTTCTATCAAGCCACCCCACTTTATAATTAGGCCCTGTCCAAATTATATGATGATGACGACAAAGAGCTTGGTACACGGGGATAAAAAAAGCTGTCCTTTCAATTCGATCGGAAGCAACACCTATCCAAGTAGTGTCCAGGCATTCCGAGTAGCGATGTTCATTCTTTACGTGTCCGTTTTGCTTACCGCGCACGTTCGAAGGCCCCGTTGGCTGCCTGCTTGCCAACCAGGTGTTTTGAAACGAGAGAGCTTGCCTTTAACCTCACCCAGATTGCACACCTGTCAACCCCTTATCAGTGCCTACCTTATTACAGACCAATTCAGAACTTACTGGTCACCATGTGTCCTTATAATTCTCAACGTTCATCCTACAAAGCCCATATTGAAATGGTCGTACGCCATATGGACCTGAAAACTCAATTTCCCTGTATGACAATATGGGGTAAACCGTATGGGTGGACAGCTATGAGACTGCAGCCTCAAAACTGTTGTAGCTCAATCGACAAAGTCTGCGACCATCTCCCAGCTCTCCTCAATCCTGCCCCGACCACGTCCACCCCATTGCCACGGGGCTTTCTCTGCTCTTCACACATTAAACGGGTGGTTAACAGAAGCTGCCACCGTGACCCCGGCTGTCCTCTCTCTGGTCTCAGGTGATAACTAACCCAGCCACCCAGTCAGTCGCCCACTGTGACACTCATTCAGCCACCCGACCACTCGGCAACCGTGACCACACCACCTCTAACCACACCCCCCCCTTCTCCCAAGGAGCACAACCCGGGACGAAGTCCTTCCCCACAACCTCAAACCACCCCCTCCCCCGCCACATCTGGCGTGCGGTCGCCACATCGTCACAATGGGTGACGCGGAGCCCACTCCATTGCCAACCGCGGGGGTCGCCACCGCCACCTCCATCGCCTCCTTCGGCAGCTCCGGCAGCTCCGGCTCGGGCGGGGCAGGATCGTCGGCGCCGCTGCACGTCAACGTGGGGGGTCTCCGGGAGCGCCTGGCACGCGGGAGCGCCCGCCGGTTCCCGCACTCGCGCCTGGGCAAGCTGGCACGCTGCGAGAGCCACGAGCAGGCGCTGCGCCTCTGCGACGACTACTGCGACGCCGCCGGCGAGTTCTACTTCGACCGCAACCCGGCGGCATTCCGCGGCGTCCTCAACCTGTACCGCACGGGACGCCTGCACCTCATCGAGGAGCTGTGCGTCTTCTCCTTCAGCCAGGAGCTCGAGTACTGGGGCGTGCAGGACTACTACATGGGCTCCTGCTGCAGGTGAGCAAGTAGGGACACGTACACAAGTCCTAAGTGAGCTCCTGCTGCAGGTGAGGACCGCTGTGGGGGCTCTCTCTCCATCCGCCCCGCACAGCTACAAGTACCACGAGCGCAAGGAGAACTGCGGGGACAGCGGGGAGTTCGACGAAGATGACGACGACGAGGAGGGATTCACTCACGATGACGATGACGACGGCGGCGGAAGTGGCGGCAGCGATGACGGCGGTGGCGGTGGTGGCGCCGGGGGGGAGAGGGCCCCACCCAAGGGCTCCCCCGAGGAGGAGATGGCATCCGTGGAGAGGGACATGGAGGAGTTCACGCGCAAGTGCTGCGGCCAGCGGAGGTGCGTGCACGTACAGACTTGTATATATTGTTACCTGTGAGCTCACCTGTATACACTCACCTGCATAGGCACTCGTGTACAAACTCCGACTCGTGTAAGCTCTCACTTGTCTAGTCTCTGCCCACCCCCCACCCCCACCCCCCCGCAGGCGCCTGCTGTGGCTGACCCTGGAGAACCCGGACTTCTCAGCCTTCGCTCGCGTCATCGCCGCCGTCTCCGTGCTTGCCGTGCTCACGTCCGTCGCGGCCATGTGCGTCAACAGCATGCCCGAGTTCCAGGCGGCCGCGCGCCGGCGCGGCGCCGTCAGCGCCGGTGGCGCCACGGCGGCCGAGGAGCCCGAGGAGGAGAGGGGCGCGCTGGCGCAGGTGGAGCGCGTGTGCATCGCGTGGTTCACCGCCGAGCTGGTGCTGCGGATGGCGGCGGCGCCGCGGCTCGACCGCTTTGTGCGCGAGCCCCTGAACGTCATCGACGCCGTCTCCGTGTTGCCCTACTACGCCACCGAGGCGGTGCGCGCGCTGCTCTCGAGCGGCGTGCGCGTGCGCGACGTGGGGCGAGTCACGCAGTCGCTCAGGTGAGCTGCTGGGGCAGGGGGAGGGATGGAGAGCGAGCAGCTCACTCGGGGGGGGGGATGTGACGGGCAGGTGAATTGTTGGCTGACGCGGGGGAGGGACGGAGTGAGGAGCAGGTGAGCTGAAGTCGCTGCCCAATGTCGACCCTTCCCGTTGTCCACCCGTACCCACACACAAGCACCAATGCACTCTTACCTACTCTGACCCACTCTCCCCCATCCACACACCTTCTTACCCACCCACTCACCCACCCTCATTCTTACCTCCACGCACCCACTCACTCTCACCCCCACGCACCCACCCACTCTCACCCACCCAACCACTCTTACCCCCACGCACCCACTCACTCTCACGCACCCACTCACTCTCACCCACTCACCCCCACTCACCCACCCACCCACACCCCCACTCACCCACCCACCCACACCCCCACTCACCCACCCACTCTCACCCACCCAACCACTCACCCCCTCGCACCCACCCACTCTCACCCACCCACCCACCCACTCACCCACCCACCCACAGGCTGTTGCGCGTCTTCCGCATCCTCAAGCTGGCGCGCCACTCGGCGGGCCTGCGCTCGCTGGGCGAGACACTGGCGCACAGCCACAGCGACATCGGCGTGCTGCTCCTCTTCCTCGTCACGGGCATCCTCATCTTCGCCTCGCTCGCCTACTACCTGGAGCGCGACGACGGCGAGAACATGGGCACCATCCCCCTCTGCTACTGGTGGGCGACCATCAGCATGACCACGGTGGGCTACGGCGACGCGGTGCCCACGACGCCCGCCGGCAAGGCGGTGAGCGTCTGCTGTGTCCTCTGCGGCATCCTCATCATGTCCATGCCCGTCACCATCATCTTCAACAAGTTCATCAAGTACTACCGGCGACAGAAGGCGCGCGAGGTCACCCTGCGCCGGCGGCTGGCCCGGGACGCTCTGCCGAGGGAACTCTTTGAGTCGCACCGCGACGACGACGACGACGATGACCTTGACCGCGACCTCAGCGACGGCAGGACGGGGAAGGTCCACAGGGTGGTCGTGGGGCTGGTCTCCGCATCTGCGCTCGGGGTGGGCCTCGGAGTCGGCGCCGACCCGGGCCTCTGCGTGGGGCCACGCGGATCCTTCGCCTCGGGCTCGCGGGGCCGCGGGGGGCGCAGGCGGCCGTGCCTCGCGTGGGCAGCGCTGGCCGAGCGCCTCCTGCCATCGTCATCCGGCACCGGCGGCGGGGGGAGGCGGCGGAGTGGCGGGACGCCCGGGGGGACGCCCGGGGGACGCCCGCGTCCCCGGCTCACGGCCGCGGGGACCTCGAGCTGAGGCCGTTGGGGGACGCCGTGGGCCTCGCGCAGGCACGGGACATCGGGCCGGGCCGGAAGGTCTACCAGCCGGTGGAGTGAGAGGGCCGTGGGCCGCAGGTCGTGAATGAGCCCAACGTCTGTGGGAGGCTGCTGCGCTCCCTCCCTACTGCCACCACCGCCACCACCACCACCGCCACCACTACCGCCACCACCACCTACACCGCCAACCACCACCACCCACAAGCACCCACCACCACCCTGCCGAATTACAGCTACAGCACTCACCTGGCTCAGACACCCCCTTAAGCTCCGGAATGCCAACAAACCTTCATGCCAAGCTGCCGCTGCTGCCACTATCGCTCGTCGGTGGTGGAGCCTCCACCCCAACCTCGACTACCATAGCCTCAGTAGCTTCGCCAACTTGGTGTCAGAGTCAACCCGTGGAAAATGACGACGATGATGATGATGGCAGTGGTGTTTGATGCAAGGGTTGTGTTTGACCTGCATCATTCACCATGCCGGCTCCATGGACAGGAGGGGCCCGAGGGGGGCCACAACGAGGAGTTTTGACGTCGTCGTTTACGCCGTTGCCGTTCAACCGTGGCCGGGAAACCACCCGCAGGTCTCTCCCATCCGTGGGCGCAGATGCACCGACCGATGCGCTGCCACTCCTGCGGGGAACACGGCAGGGCCGAAGCACAGCATGACCGGTCGTCGTCGTTGTCATGCTCGTCAGCCATTTTCAACCTCTGACACTCACCCCCGCACTACCGATTAGCACATTCAGCTACATGCCGTGCGACAGAAGTTCAACATGCACACATATGTATGTCAGTGCAGATATTGGCAGGTCGCAAAAAATGTAGGGGGTCCACGCGGCACGCAAGACTAACCGATGGGATTACTCGATCCAGGGATCGCTTTGGCAATGAAATCGATGCGGTGATTAAGCCCTCGATTACCCTTCAAATCGGGGACTCGAGACCGTAACATGGATGGGGCAAAAACGCGCCCGTCCAAGGATGTGATGCCAAGCACTATTCCCTTCCATTTATCTCGCTGACCGCAGATGCCGTCTGCTTCTGTCGCGTTACAGGCTTGGTTGAGAGTAACCCAAACGCTCGACATTCTCTCTGCGGCCAGTTGCTGCCCCCCCCCCGCACGTGGCGAGAAAGATGAACGGGCGCCACCAGTCGAGCGTTGATCCTCTCAACGATTTGTGGTGACGCATTTCACCGCCACCAATGCAGATGCACACGCACAACTGCAATTGGGTGGGGGGGGGGCAGGGGGGTAGTCGCCCTCCAACAATGGAGGGCAGGGGAGCAATGCTCACAAGAACGAGCAGAGCGCCGGGCAGCTAAGATGCAGCATGTTGCCACAGTAGGGGGTACAGCTGGTGGTGCATCTACTGGTCATATCAGTCTGCCAACCCGCGACCTCCTGTTAGCGAGCCTTCGACACTTCACGTGGCCTCAAAGTGCACCTGGCCTGGCATAGGCGCCGTGGTGACGTCACTGTCACTTAGTGGCAAATGGTGAGTAATGGTACAGGTACTACTTTACTTACGAATATTCGACCTCTCAGAGATACGAAACAAACCTGTCCGTATGTCCAGTTGCCCATTCAAACCGAGAGTCGTAAGTTCAACCGCCGCGCAATAGATGGCGGCGGTGGCATCTACATCTACAGAATCTGAAGAACCAGTGGCATCTACATCTACAGAATCTGAAGAACCAGTGGCATCTATATCTGCAGAACGTGAAGAACCAGTGGCATCTACATCTACATAATCTGAAGAACCAGTGGCATCTACATCTGCAGAATCTGAAGAACCAGTAGCATCTACAGGAGATGAGACAACTTTTAAAGCCATACAACGTGTTCGGAATCGACAGGAGTAAAGTTAGGCTTACGAACAGGCCTCTGGAATCTAACTCAATTGTAATTAGAGGAGTCCCTGTATTGGAGGGTGGGGCAGGTGGGAGTAGGTGAAGCTAGGGGCGGGCTATCCTGTGAATAAGGGCATGGCTGGACCACGCTGTAGCCATGCGCAGAGGAGTTTCCCAACTGCTCGCTCAGAAATGGACAAAGCAGTTGCAGACGACGACGATCCAAAGCGAAGGAGGCGTCGAGCGAAAACAATTTCCCCGCCAACGATCAAGTTTGGCAAATGTACGATGTTGCTACTGTGCACACCATGCGGTGAGATGGCGGATACTGGGGCTACACCGCCGCATTACTGTATCATTCTGCATTACTGTATCATTGTAACCGCTCAGCCACGCAGCTCAAGAAAGTAGGTCATCATTGACCGCTCAGAAACTGCCCTATAATGGCGCGGGTTCCAAGTAAAAATGGTGCGCGTCCCGTGTTATAACAGCGCGTGCCCCGTGTTATAACGGTGCGTGTCCCGCGTTATAACAGCACGTGTCCCGTGTTATAACAGCGCGTGCCCCGTGTTATAACGGTGTGTGCCCCGTGTTATAACGGTGCGTGTCCCGCGTTATAACAGCACGTGTCCCGTGTTATAATGGCGCGTGCCCCGTGTTATAACGGTGCGTGTCCCGCGTTATAACAGCACGTGTCCCGTGTTATAATGGCGCGTAAATATGACCACGCAACTCATCTGGCGTCCTCGTCACGCACCAATGCTCGTTTCGAACATTGGTGGTAGGGAGAGACAAAGGCGGCTGGGGTGTGGTGCTGGCCACCCCCACTCAACCTCGCTCCTTGTTTGCCGCGTGTCCGGCCTTCGCAGCCCACAGGTGCGTGTTCAAAAGGCTACCCGGGGGATCTTTTTCTGTAGTGTGCGCTGTTGGTGCGGGGAGGGGGGGTGCATTAGTGGGGGGCTGGTGGGGGGGCTCTGATTGCCTCGTGCATAATGCACGGAGACTCCCACGGGCGTAGCAGACGGCCGCACCACTTTAACGCTGCTAAAATCCGTGCACTCCGGCTACATTCATAATACATGGGCGCCACGGTGGCTAGATGTTAACTCCCTCGCCTGGTATTCAGGAGGCCGAGGGTTCGATCCCGACCCTGACAATGCCTGCTGTATATTTTGAGTTTGTGGTGTCTTTCTCTCATCATCACGTTGGCTGGAAGATGTTAACTCCCTCGCCTGGTATGCAGGAGGACGTGGGTTCGATCTCGACCCTGACGATGGCTGCTGTATATTTGAAGTTTGCAATGTCTCTCTCTCCGTGGTCACGTGGATTTGTCTCCAGGTCCTCCGGTTTTCCCCCTCCGCATTTAGAATCAACGTCACGTGTGTTTAGGGAGTATTTGGCTACTGCTATAAATATCCACATGATGATAAGCCTGATAAGTATCGTTGAGCTATCATTTGTGATACCCAGGGTCGCTTCTAAAAAAAATAGAGCTACACAGTGGGGCTTTACCTGGTACAATAAAAAGTTGAGTTTAGTTCGTAGTTTGACAAATCTGAATAGATGTTAAAACACGACAAATACATTTTAGGAAGGAGTTTAACACGTCGGTTTTCACGACCAATAGCCATAATATAGGGTAATGGATACCCATTGTAATTTATAGTTTCATTAATCCCCCCCCCCCTCTTCGCACAAGAAGGGCTCACAAGTGACGTTACCACATCTACCCCCCCTATTTAAGGAACGAAACAGGAGGCTTTCTCTACAAATCTCGCTGTTGCCTGATGAAACTGGTTGTAATTACTGGCGAAACGTCGTACTCCGATTGTAAATGTTGAGGATTTGCTCTCCAACTAGTAACGAATTGGTATATTTCGTTTATGTGACAAACTTTACTAATTGGTGTTGGCGGGTTGAACGACACATTTATATTTACGCGATCACACCCAATATACATTATAAATATCATCCATAATATCAGTTTAACACGTAGGCTTTCGCGAACAATATCATCCAGAAGAGGTTTTTTTTGGGTTAGATCACGCCACCAATCAATGCTTCATGAACTGCACACAGTAATTGTGGTGAACATGCAAACAAATATGCTCTGATAATGAATGGCATTGTCTTCGAAAGTGATTGGCCTACACCAGATACATCAGCTTTCCTTATGGCTCAGTATCACCACCAGTGACGGACCAGAGAAAGACGCCATAACGTCGTGATTTTTATTTTATTTTACTTTTATTAATTTAAATTTTTTACTTACGTGACTTTACCGAAAAAACCCAAGAATACGCCATACTTCACCACGCGTGCGACGCGTGCGGGTTGCGCATCTCTAACAACTCGGGCTATAAAAAAAAACACCGGTCCTTTCACATAACCGGTAACCGCGTGATTAACCGGTAAGACAAAACAAAAACCGGCTTTTGCCGGACACACAAATGTCTCGAGAGGTAAACCTGTGACACGTGCAGGCTCGATAGAGACGCGAGGGCAGCTGCCACACAACAGTTATAGAGGCGGTCCACGACTTACGAACACAGTTGGATCCCGGGACGCGTTCGTAAGTAAGAAAACTCATGTACTTATCTATTTACGAACGCGTTAGGTTCCAGAGGTCTGTTTGTAAGTCGATTTTTTTGAAAGTCCAACTTTACTCGTGTTGATTGCAAACATGCTGTACAGCGTGTACACTAAACAGGAGAAATGGCTTTACAAGTTGTATAATCTCCTGTAGATGTAGAAGCCACTGGTTATTCATGTTCTGCAGATGTATATGCCACTGGTTATTCATGTTCTGCAGATGTATATGCCACTGGTGTCTTCATGTTCTGCAGATGCCAATGGTTCTTCATGTTCTGCAGATGTAGATGCTACTGGTTCTTCATGTTCTGCAGATGTATATGCCACTGGTTCTTTATTTTCTACAGATGAAGATGCCACTGGTTATTACTGTTCTGCAGATGCCACTAGTTCTTCCTTTTCTGCAGATGTAGATGCCACTGTTTCTTCATGTTCTGCAGATGAAGATGCCACTGGTTATTCACGTTCTGCAGATGCCACTAGTTCTTCATTTTCTGCAGATGTAGATGCCACTGGTTTTTCATGTTCTGCAGATTTAGATGCCATTGGTTCTTCATGTTCTGCAGATGCCACTAGTTCTTCATTTTCTGCAGGTGTAGATGCCATTTGTTCTTCATGTTCTGTAGACGTATATGCCACTGTATCTTCACGTTCTGCAGATGTAGATGCCACTGCTTCTCCATGTTCTGCAGATGTAGATGCCACTGGTTCTTCATGTTCTGCAGATGTCGATGCCACTGGTTCTTCATTTTCTGCAGATGTAGATGCCACCACCGCCATCTATTGCGCAGCGGTTTAACTTACGACTCTCGGTCTGAATAGGCAACTCGACATATGGGACAGGTTTGTTCGTATCTCACAGAGGAGTCCTGGTAATGTATGTAAAAGCCCATATGTCAGTGTTATGAAATGCATAATGTTTCAAGGAAGAAAATGAAGCATCGTTAAACTCATAAATGAGAAATATTGTAAAATTGCATGTAGAAACTCTAAAAAAGGAATACTGCACAAGTGAATAAAACAAAATGAAGTAACATGAATATAAGAAAAAAAATATGCTTTATTATCACTTACCTCGAGTCCTGATCCTGGCTTGCTTGTCGGAAAGGGGGGGAAATGAGTCACCACAATTACACTACAGATACACGCACACATAGACACAACAACCGCCGTTCGCTACTAAGTGGCGGTGACGTTACCACGGCGCTTGTGCCAGGCGATGTGCACCTTGAGGCCACGTGAAGTGTCGAACGTCTGCTGGCAGGTCACGCGGCAGACCCAGGTGCCATGGGTCGACTGATTGAGATGACCGAAATGACTGGCTTATGCACCACCTGTGCCCCCTGTGCCAACTTGCTGTGTTTTAGCCACCCGGCCCTCCGCTCATTGTTGTGAGCGTCGTTCCTCTGCCCTCCGTTGTTGTTGGAGGGCGACTGCCTCCAACTGCCCAGTAGCGTCCTTCACGAGCCTCCTCCACAGAGGCCGATCTTGACACCGCTGGTATCGGTCATCCACTCAGCTCCACATCCTCCTGTACCACATCACTCCATCTCTTCTCTAGCCCATGTCGCGCCCGTTTAGCCCCCTCGATCCGGCCGAACAAAAGCTGTTTAGGCATGCAGTGGCTGGGCATGCGGGCTACATGACCCAGCCAACGTAGCCTTGCCTGCCGGAGGAGCTCACCGATGGGACTTTGCCCAGATCTTTCAAGGATTTGTGAGCTCCTCACACAATCCAGCCTGGTTAAACCCAGGATGGATCATAGGCAGGCCAGCCTAAAATGTTTCGAACTGGCGAAGATGCTCCATTAGGGGGGTCCACGTTTCGCAAGCATAGAGAAGGGAGGAAATGACCGTGGCCGAGAAGACCTGAAGCTTCGTGCGGAGCGACAAACCAGGTAGCTTCCACACAGCGTTACGCAACCGATGAAAAGATATTGCCGTTCGACTGATTCGGAGTGAGACCTCTGCTGTTAAACCGGAGCCGGTCATGAG